AAACTCTGTAAAATAATACAATGTGAGCAAGATATTACTTTGCTGCAGAGGGATTTAGATAGACTGGGGGGCTGGGCACTCAAATGGCAGATGAAATTTAATGTTGAAAAATGCAAAGTTATGCACTTCGGCGTAAAGAATACACAAGCAACGTATACCCTTAATGGAAGCGAATTAGGGATAACAACACATGAAAAGGACTTGGGAATTGTTATAGACAACAAACTATGCAAGAATGTGCAATGTCAATCAGCAGTGGCTAAGGCCAGTAAGGTATTGTCTTGCATGAAAAAGGGCATTCATTCTCGGGATGAGAATATCATTTTGCCTCTTTATAAATCACTGGTAAGACCCCATATTGAATATGCTGTGCAATTTTGGGCACCTGTTCTAAAGAAGGATATTATGGCACTAGAAAAAGTGCAGAGGCAGGCTACAAAATTAATAAAAGGAATGGAACATATCAGCTATGAAGGAAGGTTAACAAATTTAAACCTATTCAGTTTAGAAAAACATCGCCTGAGAGGGGCTGTGATAACATTATACAAGTTTATTCGGGGCCAATACAAACCATTGTGTGGAAATCTATTCACAAACCGGTCTTTACATCAGACACGAGGTCATGCATTTGGACTGGAAGAAAGAAGATTTCGTCTACAGCAAAGGAAAGGTTTTTTTACTGAAAGAACAATAAGGATGTGGAATTCTCTGCCTGAAGGAGTGGTTTTATCAGTGTCCATACAAATGTTCAAACAGCTACTAGATGCATACTTGCAAAAACACAATATTCAAGGATATAATCTTTCAATGTAGGGTAATAACTGCTTGATCCAAGGATAAATCTGACTGCCATTCTTAGGTCAAGAAGGAATTTTTTTCCTTTTTTAGTGTTGTGGATCCAAATAATGATGTTTGCTATATTCAGAGAAAGCCCAAATTATTATTACAAGTGCACTTGGAGAAGCGAGAATTAGACACCAGACACCTGTTGGTATTCAAAATACGCCTCTGCCGTTTTACTCATCAGCTGGGGTTTTTAAAAAGTAAGTGCTTACGTGCAAATACTCATAGAACCGTAATAGGAAGGGAGTACAGATAAGACATAGGGGTAAGAAAGAATAAAAAGATTAGAGAAGAGACATCTCAGGTGGAGGCTCTCTGCTCCCGGAACTAGACATATATGGTCTTAAGTGTTGTGTTAAGCATCAAGCATTTCCTGAGTCCAAGTTAGCCAATTTTAATATAGGATATCATTATATAACACCTATAAGCTTGAGCCTTGGAATCAAGATACATTCTATCACACTAGCTTGTTGCAAAATTGGAAGTGCTTCAAACTGGGGGTTTTTTCCCCTCTTTTGGAACAACACCAAAAAACAAATGTGAACTTGATGGACGCAAGTCTCTTTTCAGCTATGTACCTATGTAACTGATGAGAGGAAGAGGAAGGGGAGAACCTGTGCTGGCATGTGTCAACAGGTGCAAGGGTATTCTACTGATGCCCCTCCGAATCAGCAGCAGACACAAGGTCACCCTGATGAGGTCACCCTGATAAGAGGAAAGCCAGGAGATTGGGACTCTTGCTCGTGCAACCTTTCAGCTCACTGAAGTATGGAACTAGATGCGAATGACCACTCTTTTAGTGAATGAACAACCCTTTTCCTTTTTGGTTGATAGTAGGGCCACTCTTTCTAGTTTGGTGTAATTTATCAGGGATCTGTCATTAGCACAAGTATCAAATTTGTTGGCATTGGTGCGGTCCCCATGTTCTGCAATAAAACCCCAACACTGACTGTCCATACACCCGAGGGCACTTTTCTGAAACATGCTTTTGTTGTCACTTCTACATGCCCTATTTAATCTTCTTGGTAGAGATTTAATGGATAAAAAAACGTTTACCTCTACAGATACCCAACAAGTTTGTAAAATGCTGTGTATTGATTGGAAGTTTCACATTCAATATCATCAATAGTCCTCAGGACAGGTGGAAAAAATGAACAGAACCATCAAAGAGAAGTCGACAAAAGGAGGCTTGCGGTTTAACAACAACTGACCTGACAATTTGCCTGCTGTATTAGCCGAGCTCAGAATGATCCCTAGTGCTGCTATAGGTTATTCACCCTTTAAATTGTGATTGGTAGGCCTTTTTCTACTCCTTGGTGTAAGTCTAAATGTGCTTCTGTGGTAAGTGGAGACTTTAACGTTTCGCTTGATGAATATGTATTGAACTTTGTTGTAAAATTGCATGGCACCTGCCATGTCTCTCCCATTTCCTGTAGGTAGACTGACCCAGCCTATTAAACCTAGTGACAAGGTTCTGGTAAGATCCTTTTGCAACCACCTACAACCGTGGTTTTGCGAACCACCTACAACCGTGATTTCTGTCAACACGAACCGCTGTGTTGACGGAAGATAACCAAGCCTGGATAAATGTAAATCGCCTATAGACAGTCCCTGGAATGGTTCCAGCATCAGCCAAGGCCGAGACCAAGGGAAGGTACAATCCATTTCCCTTTTCGACTGCCTGCAACACGCAAAGCCGAACGCCTCAGGAAGCTCAGAGGTGCCCAGCCCCCTCCACCCTTCCGAAAAGTGCCACCCAAGCAAATGCCTTGTTAGCCTTGCAATAAATTCAATGTAATGCTGAGAACCCATTGGTATACGGTGTGCTTGGTGTAAATTCCCTGTACAACACAAATCTAAAACAAGCTATCCTTTAAAAAAAAAAAAAAGAAAGGAAAGCTACCCTTATTTTAAGGTGTTATTGTATACAGATCAACTGTCTTTCGCAATAGCAATCACTTAGAACAAATATTTGCATACACAGCAAAACTATTGGAGAAATGTGAGGATTAGGGAGTAAAGCTCAGTTTAGTAACTTGGAATGTGGCTTATTTCCCAGCTGTCTTTATGAGCATTAATTGACATACTTGGCACATACCGGAAGCTGCCTTTTTCTAACTGAAGGTGTAAGATTGTTTTTCAATCAGTGCAGGTCTGCAGAACAGTAGGTGAGCTGCTAGATACAATGTAAAAAGGCCTTTACAGTCCAACTGAGGCTACTGCACTTGACTGAATCTCTCTGCTGCCATCTAACTTTGTCTCTTTACAGTCAGATCTGACTGTAGTTCCCATGTCTCTCTGCTGCTCACTCTGACTGTAGCAATCTGCTCACTCTGATCATTGTCTCTCTATTTCCATATCTAACTGTACCATCATTGTCTCTCAATTTCCATATCTGACTGTTTCATCGTTGTCTTTCTATTTCTACATCTGCCTGTATTATCATTGTCTCTCTATTACCACATCTGCCTGTATCATCATTGTCTCTCTATTTCTACATCTGTCTGTATCATCGTTGCCTCTCTATTACCACATCTGCCTGTATCATCATTGTCTCTCTATTTCTACATCTGTCTGTATCATCGTTGCCTCTCTATTACCACATCTGTCTGTATCATCGTTGCCTCTCTATTACCACATCTGACAGTATTATCATTGTCTCTCTATTTGGCGATGAAGTTTCCTTTTGAATAGAAATCCTCCAGTACCTAATTCATACCATTATTTCACTATTTTCTAGAAGCTGATAATTTGTGATATAAGTATATTTAAAGGGACACTATAGTCACCAGAACAACTACAGCTTATTGAATTTGTTCTGGTGAGTAGAATCATTACCTTCAGGCTTTTTGCTGTAACCACTGTCTTTTCAGAGAAAATGCAGTATTTACATTACAGCCTAGTGATAACTTCACTGGCCACTCCTCAGATGGCTGTTAGAGATCCTTCCTGGGTCATGGCTGCCTAAAATGCATCCAAACATTCAGTATCTCCTCCCTCTGCATGCAGGCACTGAACTTTCCTCATAGAGATTCATTGATTCAATTCATCTCTATGAGGAGATGCTGATTGGCCAGGGCTGTGTTTGAATCATGCTGGCTCTGCCCCTGATCTGCCTCTTTGTCAGTCTCAGCCAAATCCTATGGGGAAGCATTCTGATTGGATCAGGCTACCACTTCTGATGATGTCAGCAGACTGCTTGTTTTTTGAGTCTCACATCATGCAGAGTTACAGCTTCAGGCTTGAATACAGTAACATTTCTATACTTAGGGAGGCATGAGGGTCTCAGGGGGGCTAGATGGTGGTTTTAACACTACAGGGTCAGGAATACATGTTTGTGTTCCTGACCCTATAATGATCCTTTAAATACATTAGGGACACTCTACACCCATAAAGCACTTTAGCTTGCTGAACTCCTTCATGTGTGAAGAGTTTGTCCTCTTTTTTTCATTTTACAATACAGTGCATATTTCAAGAGAAATTGGAACTTTTAGAAATTAACCTGGTTACACCCCACTGCCTCTCAATCACTAAACTCAAGAGGCAATGAGTGTCCTGAGCACCTGCCTTGCAAAAACTTCTCATTGGGAATTCTGCAATTGGAGAGACAGGGGTTAGAAGGGGAGGGTTTGAATACAAGAGATCTGCAGCTTTTGCAAGCTGATTTTAGATACATACCCAATGAAAAATTTTATAATTATATGTATGTATAATTTCACCCAAAATGTTTTAAAAAACAAACAAACTATTTTTCCATTGTAATGTTATTTTAAGCAAACATCACACTAATGTATACCTCATGACCACATCACAACAGTGATTTTTTAAAATGTCAAATATTTTTTTTACTTGGGCAGTGGAGTGTCTCTTTAAGGAGCAGTGCCATGCCTCTTTTCACCCTATTGTGACAACACCACTTCAATTTCTGTGCTTCTAGTTTTAAATACATCACCCTTTTCTAGCATTAAGTGCCTAACATGACACTATTAGTTCAAGGGAATGTTCAACAGATCATTAACCACTGTCACATAAGACTATGACACCTTATGCATGCACTGTAACAAAACCAATGTAATAATTAACTCAATCAAAACCTTATATGTCTCTTTCTTTCCGAAAGGCTCTGAGAAGTAAGCTGCAGTTCCAACATCAGGAATATGATAAATAAAGAGAACATGCTTTCTGACGATGAAAAAGTTACCCAAAAAACAGAAAACCTCCATCTGAGGCGTGAGATCGGATTGGTTAGTGCCGTATCCCTGATCGCTGGTACAATGATAGGATCTGGGATTTTTATGTCTCCTCAGTGGGTCCTCTACTACGTGGGAAGTCCAGGAGCCAGTCTACTGATATGGGCTGCTTGTGGTCTGCTTGCCATCCTGGGGGCATTGTCCTATGCAGAACTCGGAACTGTGATTAAGGAGTCAGGAGGAGAGTACATATATATTTTAAGAAATATTGGCTCGCTGCCTGCATTTCTCTTGGCATTCACTTCTGTCATGGTAGTGAGACCTGCTAGCATTGCAGGGATATCTTTGAGTTTCGCAGAATATGTGGTGGCATCATTCTACCAAGATTGCCCAATGCCCCAAGTAGTGGTTAAGTGTACTGCAGCTGCATGCGTCATGGTCTTAGCCATCATTAATTGTCTCAATGTTAGGCTGGCAACCTCTATTATGAACATTTTTACAGCAGCCAAGATATTAGTATTGTTGGTTATAATTGCGGGTGGAATGGTTCTTTTGGCCAAAGGGAACACTCAGGTATTGCAGAACTCCTTTGAAAATACAGTCACCGGTTTTGGTCCTATAGGAGTGGCTTTTTATCAAGGACTCTGGTCGTATGATGGATGGAACAACCTTAACAGTGTGACGGAGGAACTGAAGAATCCCGAGGTCAGTGAGTGCTTAGAACAGGTGTAGGCAACCTTTTAGCAGCACTGTGCCGAAATAAGATTGTGATGTCCCGTAGCGTGCCAGTCCTATTTTGTTTAAATTGGGGTGTGTATGTAGCCGTATTCTGCTTGTGTTATTTATACTGCCGTTACTTTGTATCGTGTTATTTTTGCGTAAATGAGCTATTATATTGTATATGTTTATGAGTAGTTTGTGGTATCGTGTATGATACTTATGAATGTGGGTTGTGTATGGGGGCTGCTTGTGGAATTGTGTGTGTGGATTGAAATGTCACATATGTCCCATATGTCCTATGTGTGTTTGGCAGTGTGTGTGTGTGTGTGTGTGGGGGGCTGTTTGGTGTATTGTATGTAAGAGCCTGCATGTGGGGTTATGTGCATGTATGTGGATTATTAGTGGTGTTGCGTTTAGGCTGATTGTGTGTATGTTTGTGTGTGGGCTGTTATTATTTGTATGAGGGGAGGGTTATTCTGCATTTCTGTATATATCTAGCTGTGTTGGTGGCTTCCCTAGGGTCCAGTGGGGACCAGGCTGGCCAGGTACAGGTTAAGGACAGGACCTGCAACACCAGATACAGGCTGCTTTACTCCAGTATGGATTCCCATTCACAAGTGCTGGGAGGAAGTACTCTGAGATCACTTCCTCTACATGCTGCAATGCATAAATTGAGGATTGTCCTTCACAACCTTTTTGTATTAGCAGATATCTGAAGTTTCACTGGGACTCCTGATAGGTCAGAGCGTGTTTAACTTTGGCAGCCTTGAGTGCTGTGCAAAGACATCTCGAGTGCTGTGCATGGCACATGTGCCATAGGCAGGGACGTGTCTATAGCGAGGCAAACAAGGCATCTTCCTTGGGCGGCACTTTTCAGGGGGCAGCAAAAAAAGCCGCCCCCAAATGCCCAGGCAGATCCCTTGCTTGTCTCGTGTCCTGGGGGGCTTAAGAGCTGGCCGGCTGGCCACTTTTAAGCCCCCCCCTCCCTGAGGCGGGCGGCAGGCAGCGAGGGAGAATACTCACCTGAGCTCTTCCTGCCCAGCTCCCTCTGTGACGCTTAATAAAGCCAGGAGCTGGAATATGACGTTGGACCTGCTCCCAGCATAATTAAGCGCCTCCTACTCAGCCTGTCCGCCACCTGCCTGCCCGCCCAGCAGCCACACTGGACTGCAGGTAAGCAATCCACTCCAACTCTCCCAGGGAGGCTCGGTGGATTTAAAATAAAATAAAAAAAATATTAGTTTGTGAGTGTTGGTGGAAATGTCTGTGTGTGTATGTCTAAGTGAATATGTGTGTGTGTGCTTGTGTGTGTCTGTGAGTGAATGTGTGTATGTGTCTGTAAGTGTGTGTGTGTCTGTGTCTATGTGTGTGTCTGTAAGTGTGTGTGTGTATGTGTCTGTAAGTGTATGTGTGTAAGTGTGTGTATGTGTCTGTAAGTGTGTGTATGTGTCTGTAAGTGTGAATGTGTGTGTCTGTAAGTGTTTATGTGTGTGTGTGTCTGTGAGTGAATGTGTGTGTGTGTGTGTCTGTAAGTGAATGTGTGTGTGTGTGTCTGTAAGTGTTTATGTGTGTGTCTGTAAGTGAATGTGTGTGTGTGTGTGTGTCAGTCAGTGAGTGTGTATATGTCGGTCAGTGAGGGTATATGTGTCGGTCAGTGAGTGCGTGCGTCTCTCAGTGAGAGTGTGTGTCTGTCAGTGTGTGTGTGTCTGTCAGTGTGTGTACAAGTAATAGTGTGTGTGTATGTCATTGTTTATCAGTGTATATGAGAGCATTTACAATGCTTTCCTATGGACACTCTGCACGATGGAGGCATAATATGCCTCCAGCATCACAGATGCGCCTCTAGTGGCTGTCCAGAAGACAGCCACTAGAGGCTGGCTTAACCCTGCTATGTTTGCATCTGCAAGGTTAAAACCTGAGGGACCTGGCACCCAGACCACTTCATTGAGCTGAGGTGGTTGGGTGACTATAGTGTCCCTTTAAATTTTAATCTGGATATTGCAGCCATTAGCACCGAATCTGATTAAACTGACACTAAAAAAAAAGAAAACTCAACAGATCTGCCACAAATAATGAATAAATGAACTAACTAAATAAACTTAAATTTAATTTAATTACATGTATATCTGTTGTCCCTAACAACAGCCAAGTTATTAGCTGTATACATTAACCAATCATATTGCAGCACTGAACACATCCACTTCTCATGAAGTTTTCTCAGTGTATCCCAGTGGAGTCAATGCTTGGGTAGGGTAGATACAGATTTCAATTTAGTTAAAGACAGGGACGTTAAGAACCATCATAATGGCATTGATGTATATTTGTTGCTGCTACATGTTTTCGCAGGTAAACCTCCCACGAGCGGTCATGATTGCTATTCCACTTGTCACATGCATTTATCTTCTTGCCAACATCAGCTACTTTGCAGCTATGACGCCCAGTGAGCTTCTTTCAACAGATGCCGTAGCAATCAGCTGGGGGTGAGTTACACTTTCTGCATATATATATAATGCCACCAGAATCTTAGACAGGATAATTTGTTTCTTTTTTTTAATATTATCTAATTATTTTGTGTCAGACACCGAGATTTAGTTGGTATATGAATCTTATGCATCTGTCTGTTAAGATGGTAGGGGTGAGCTCTCGCCTTGTCTTTCTGTACTGTAGCTGAATAAGGTACATTTTCTGTCCTCACACAGTGCTTCCTTACAGAGCTTGACAGAGAGCCAAACTCTTTTCACAGACCACACAGATGAGAAGGATGATGTCGATCCACGGTTTATTTGGACATCAGAAAGTGTAAAACTGAAATATACAAATACTAAATAATATAACTCAATAAGTGACGTTACTAAGGCAGTGGAACAAATGACTTGAAAATAAATGAGTCAGTATAGTAACAGGTTGTATACTGAATTGTCAATTCTTAAGGCGACACAAAGAAGAGATGTAGTCTGATTGATACACCACAAAATTGAGGCCAAAGCAACTGAGTAAGGACTGAGAGAACGTAGAAAGTGAACTTGAAATTACAAAATTGATGGTCAAGGTCATGTGCGATTATTCTTTTTTATAATATTCCCCTGTTTTCACCCTTCTTTTCTCTTATTTTTGTTAAGTTAAAAAAAAAATGAAAAGAGTGACTAATTTCCTGCTGTGTTAATAGCTTGCAGAAGGCTACAACAGCTTACTGTGGGTGATTAAAGTTCAATTAACAGAGCAGGAAATTCAAATTTGTAAAATAAACACACTGTGCTGAAAGATCAGATTGAAACTGAAACTATTTTTTCAGGGAGGCTGTGTGGGTCACAGGCAGAGGAGGTGTGACTAAGCCTTCATAAACAGAGACAAAACTGATTGAACTCCTGAATGGCAGAGAATTGAGGAGTGAGGCTGCAGGGGCATGTTCTGGACACCAAAACTCGAACCCATAGTTAGAGGGTTACATCCAAATCATGACTACTAACCCACTGTAGTAGTTGTGATGTTAAGCGTACGCTGGCCCAATTCCATGGTAATGGGACAAACAATTTAGCAAAGGATTGTCCCCTTACCAAGGTCCTTGACAGGCTCCGATACTCCCTGGTGGTCCACTGACATGCTTCTGGCTACAGCAGAGCCGCAGAAGCCATGGCCATCGCCATTCATTGGTTGAGAGTGTCAGCTGGCTGCTATTAGCCAATTGTAACCAATGTATAAATCTGGGCACACCTGGTTTAGAGTATAAGCTGACTGCTTTCAGCCAATTGTAACCAATGTATACGTCGGGGCACACCTGCTGATTTCTTAAGCAGGCAATCTTTTATTAGGAGTACAGAACAAAGACAAAGTTTAGTCTCTCCTTGTTAAGTCTCATCAGACATATATTTGTTACAATTGAATGTACCTGGGAACTTGGTCCATCCTTTTTGGAGCATTCTGTTGGGAGTATTCCCTGGAGAAAGTGTGCAATATCCTCTTAACTTGAAAAACATACTCTCAGCCAATGACCGACATTCTGTGCAATAAAAGTTGCCCAGAATTGACATCAGTCAGCCCAGAACTAGAGTTAATGACTAATGACACCCCAATGACACTGCTGGAAGTGGAGTTAAACCTGCAGCAGCAGAGTGATTCAGCAAAATGCTGCACATACAGACTTCAGGTACCATGACCAGTTTCAAATCATTCAAGTAGATACTGTGTTTGGAGTAACCCTTTAAGTTAAAGTTGTTTGGTTCTTAAAGTATCCCTTTAAATATAAATTGTAAATTAATGTTACCATGCTTTCTAACGACTAGATTCAGAATATTATAATTTCTAACACTCCTCTCCTGTGTACTATTATTACAGGATTAAGGTGCTCGGTACATGGACATGGATAATCTCACTGGGTGTTGCACTATCTACCTTTGGCTCAGCCAATGGGACTTTTTTTAGTGGAGGGCGAGTGTGCTATGTAGCCGCCAGAGAAGGGCATCTGGTAAGCAAAATTTAATTGTGGATAGTTCTAATATATTTGTAGATATATACAGTGAGGCAAAAAAAGTATTTGATCCCCTGCTGATTTTGAACGTTTGCCCATTGACAAAGTAATGTCTATAATTTTAATGGTAGGTGTATTTTAACAGTGAGAGACAGAATGACAAACAAAAAATCCAGAAAAAGGGATGTCAAAAAATTAAATTGATTTGCATGTCAATGAGTGAAATACATTTTTGACCCCTTCGACTTAGTACTTCATGGCAAGACCTTTGTTGGCCACCTGGTTTGCACACATTTCAGGAGGGATTTTGTCCCACTCCTCTTTGCAGATCCTCTCCAGTCATTAAGGTTTCCAGGCTGACGTTTGGCAACTCGAACCCTCAGCTCCCTCCACAGATTTTCTGTGGGATTAAGGTCTGGAGACTGGCAAGGCCACTCCAGGACCTTAATGTGCTTCTTTTTGAGCCACTCATTTGTTGCCCTGGCTGTGTGTTTTAGGTCATTGTCATGCTGGAATACCCATCCATGACCCATTTTCAATGCCCTGGCTGAGGGAAGGAGGTTCTCACCCATAATTTGATGATACATGGCCCCGTCCAGCATCACTCTGCAGCGCACGAGGGAGCTGAGCAGATAGCTCACTAGTCAGTGCTCTCTCACCAGCGCCGCCCACCCAGCATCCAGCCTAGCAGCCAGCCCATTAACCTGCCCAGCAGCCAGCCCATTGGCCTGCCTATTAGCCCGCCCAGCAGCCAGCCCAGCAGCTAGCCCATTAGCCCGCCCAGCAGTCACTGGCCCCCAGGGAAAGGAAGAACTCCCCCCCAGCATTCCCAAAGGTAAGGAGGCTGGGGGGGGTTGAATTAAAAAAAAGTGAGTGTTAATGTGAGTGTGTGTGTCTAACTGTGTCTGTGTGTGTCTGTGTGTGTCTGTTAGTGTGTGTTTGTCTGTTAGTGAGTGTGTGTGTGTGTATGTGTGTGTGTGTGTGTCTGTGTGTGTTTCTGACTGTGTGTGTCTGTGTGTGTCTGTGTGTGTGTGTGTCTGTGTGTCTGTTAGTGTGTGTTTGTCTGTTAGTGAGTGTGAGTGTATTTGCCTGTTAGTGTGTCTGAGTGTGTTTGCCTGTTAGTGTGTGTGAGTGTCTGTGTCTGTTAGTGAGTGTGAGTGTGTTTACCTGTTAGTGAGTGTGTGTGTCTGTTAGTAAGTGAGTGTGTGTCTGTTAGTGAGTGTGAGTGTGTTTGTCTGTGAGTGTCTGTGTGTGTGTGTCTGTTAGTGAGCGTGAGTGTGTTTGCCTGTTAGTGTGCGTGAGTGTGTGTGTCTGTTAGTGAGTGTGAGTGTGTTTGCCTGTTAGTGAGTGTGTGTGTCTGTTAGTGAGTGAGTGTGTGTCTGTTAGTGAGTGAGTGTGTGTCTGTTAGTGTGTGTCTGTTAGCGAGTGTGTGTCTGTTAGTGAGTGTGTTTGTTAGTGTGTGTGTGTGTCTGTTAGTGAGTGTGTGTTTCTGTTAGCTAGTGTATGCGTATCTGTCAGTGAATGTGTGTGTATTTAGAAGGCAGGGCAGGGGGGAAGGGTTGGGTGGGGGTGGCGCAGGCGGGGTAAAAGAGGGCGCCTGAGTTTTGTCTTGCCTAGGGCAGCACAAAACCAGGATACACCACTGCCCCAAAGCATAATGTTTCCACCTTCATGTTTGACGGTGGGGATGGTGTTCTTGGGATCATAGGCAGCATTCCTCCTTCTCCAAACATGGCAAATTGAGTTGATACCAAAGAGCTCAATTTTGGTCTCATCTGACCACAACACTTTCACTCAGTTCTTCTCTGAATCATTCAGATGTTCATTGGCAAACTTCAGACGGTGCTGTACATGTGCTTTCTTGAGGGGTGGGACCTTGCAGGCGCTGCAGGTTTTCAGTCCTTCACGGTGTAGTGTGTTACCAATTGTTTTCTTGGTGACTATGGTCCCAGCCAGGGGTGGGCTGGGCCGGGGGGCAGGTAGGCAATTGCCCCCCAGGCCGCCCTGAATAATTTTGAAACCGGCCTCGGTGGGCCGGTCCTAATGCTGCAGCCGCCTGAGTGCTCTGTTAAGAGCCTCTGGCGGCTGCAGCACAGCTTCAAGACAGGGAGCTCTTTCACATTACACGCACACGCACACACAATGCATTCCTTTACATAGACAGAAACACACAATGCATCCCTACACACACAGAAACACAACATGCTTCCCCTACACACAGAGAAACACACAATGCATGCATTAAACACACAATGCAACCCGTACACACAAAGACAATGCATCCTTTGCACACATACACAGAAACACACAATGCAAACCCTTACACACATGCAGACACACACACTGCTTTTCTTACATACACACATAAACACAATGCATCTCTTACACACACTCAATGCACACACATACAGACACACAGTTTATTGGTGTTTACTCTGATGTCTGTATTAATATTGAGGGATTTCTAAGTAGTAACATCAGTGTGTGTCAGCAGGGCCAGCCGTTGGGGTATGCACGCTGTGCGGTCACGCAGGGTATCATGACAACAGAGGCGCCCGGCGGCCAACACAGCTCACAAGTTGGGACACCAGCATATTCAATTTAAACGATTCGCTGGTGGTCCACTGGTGCGTACCAGCAGTAGGTGCAGTCAGATCATACCTCTCCCTCGTGGTTCCGGCGCTCAGTTAGTGAGTCAGAGCACAGGCTCAGAGATTCTCAGCCTGCACTCTAACAACATTTAAAGTCAGAGCCATGAAGGAGCGGGTATGGCAAAGAGCTACTGATTAGCATAACATCAATATCCCTTATAAAACCAGGAAAAGGTGGGCATGGATGGTGAACTGATTTGGTGGTGCAATGGGCCACTTGACTGGTTTTGCCCCCCAGGCCTAAGGCTGCCCGCCCTCCCCTGGTCCCAGCTGCCTTGAAATAATTAACAAGATCCTCCTGTGTAGTTCTGGGCCGATTCCTCACCAGTTTCATGATCATTGAAACTCTTGTAGCCCATTCCAGCATTGTGTAGGTCTACAATCTTGTCCCTGACATCCTTGGATAGCTCTTTGGTCTTGGTCTTGGTCATGGTGGAGAGTTTGGAATCTGATTGCTTCTGTGGACAGGTGTCTTTTATACAGGTAACAAGCTGAGATTAGGAGCATTCCCTTTAAGAGAGTACTCCTAATCTCAGCTCGTTACCTGTATAAAAGACACCTGGGAGCCAGAAATCTTGCTGATTGATAGGGGATCAAATACTTATTTCACTGATTGACATGCAAATCAATGTATAACTTTTTTGACATGCGTTTTTCTTTTTTTTTTTTTTTGTTATTCTGTCTCTCACTGCTAAAATACACCTACCATCAAAATTATAGACTGATCATTTCTTTGTCAGTGGGCAAACATTCTAAATCAGCAGGGGATTAAATACTTTTCCCTCACTGTATATTCTGATTCTGATTATGTTCCTGATTCCGTACTTTCTTAGTCATGTCAAGTGACCAAACTACCATCTTCTATTACTGTTTCGAAGAATTGTCTAAAACTTTTGAATTGATCTTCAGAGTGAACCATTATTTGATCAGGAGGACTTTCTCCATCCCAGATCTGCAGAATGGTTATCATTGGATCACAAAGCAAGATATTTACAACATAGGGTACATTGCTTATTGGATAGACTGCGGCACCATTGAGGAATTTATCATCAAAGCAAGGGACCTTAGAAACCAATTTAGGGAGAAAGGATGACCCAATAAATGCTTGAAACGCGCCAATAAGAGGGCCTTGGAGTCTGACCGTAATGTACTGTTAAATGAGACTGCACCTAATGTGGCATTAAAAGACTCAAATGGGATAATTAGATTGATAGCCACCTACAATGCAGGATGGGGAAGTGTGCAAGAATCACTCCAGCGCTTCTGGCCAATACTCACCAGCGATTAGAACTTAAAAGAGGTAGTTGTCCCCAACGTGACTATTACAGCACGCAGGGGTAAAAACATTTGAGACCATTTTGGCCCCAATTCACCTACAACAAAGACAGTCTTCTTCCACAACATGGCTTCATAACCCTCTAACTGGTACCTCCGGATGTGGAAGGTGTGTTGTATGCAAGTACATCAAGAGGGATTTCCAGAAATGTGAAGGATAGTGAAGAAAAGGAGGAGTTCAAAATAACATCTTTTTTTTCAACTGTAACTGTAACCGATAAGGTACACTAATGCCCCTTTTTTTCTTCCTTTCATGGAACTCATCTCAAATAGCCCCAGTAGTGTGTTGTCTGATCTTATATGCCAGGGGTTCCAGTGACAGGATGAAGAGTATTGGTGACATATCACAAATGGCACCCATATGCAATGGTGTGGAGAGAAATCCAGAGTTAGAAACCTGTGCTTTTGGATTATTGTAGAGGGTCATGATCCTTGTGTCATGTAGTGCCAGTCGAGTCTGTCAAGGGCAAGGAGGAGGCCCTGTGTCTGTGTCGTGTGCATGTACGAGAGAATGTTGAGAATTTTTCTGGTGTTGTTAGAGCTTACCAACACTGATTGATCGTTAGGAATCAGTGTTGGTAGGATGGTGGAGAGTCGATGGGCTAGAAGTTTTGCATATATTTTAAAATTGCTGCTCAAGAGGGAGATCGGACTGAGGTTTTGGCATTGAATTGGGGGTTTGCCCGGTTTGGAAAGAGTAGAAATGTGTGCTAGAAGCATGTCGCTCGGACATTTTCCTTGCGAGTAGCAGGTAATAAAAAGTACTGTGAGGGCAGGATCCAGGCTGGGTGCGAATGATTGATAATAGAGGTTGGTAAAGCCATTCGGGCCCGGAGCTTTGTGTGTGGGTAAATCCCGTATGGCCTTTTCTATTTCAATTTGGGTAAATGGTGAGGTGAGGGCCTCTATGTCTTTTCGGGGTATAGAGGGTAGGTCCACCGTGCCTAGAGATTCCTGAATAAGTTGTGAAGATGGTGGAACTAAGCTGGGGTCGTCTTTGAGATTATAAAGAGAGCTGTAATAGGATGCAAATTCGTTTACGATATCTTGTAAGTTTAGTAGTTTGCCTTTTCTTTAGATTGTATGTATGCCATTTTTGATTCATGGGATCTAGCCTTTTAATTGTGATGCCAGTAAGGCCCCTGCTTTATTGCCCTGGGAGAAAAATGTATGTTTATATCTGTGTAATAAATAGGTGTTTTTTTCCAGTTCTAAGGTTTTAAGTTTGTTTTGTAGTTGCGAGAGTTCAGTTTGTGTCTCTTTGGATGGATTGTGTTTATTTTTGTGTGTCAAGTCCGTGATGTCTCGGATGAGTGAGATGTATGTTTATTACGGTAACTAGCATGCTTGATAAGGGTTCCCCTTATGACTGCTTTGTGAGCCTGCCAAACTGTTTAGATGGATGTGTCTAATGGGTTGTTATTTGCAAAATAAGAAGTTAGATCCTCTTTTACGGTAGATAGTATTTTGGCGTCTTTAAGTAAGGAGTCGTTCAGTCTCCAAGTGTCCATTCCTGAGGATGGGTATTGTTCCTGAATGGTCAGAGTGATAGGGGTGAGGTCAGATCATGTAATGAGTCCTATGGTGGTGTCCTGTATTTAATGCAGTAGGCAGGATGGTGCGATGAATCTATCTATTCTAGTGTAGGTGTTATGCACTGCTGAGTGGAAAGTGTAGTCTATTTCTGTGGGATGTAGTATTCTCCATGGGTTGACAAAGTCATGGTGTAAAATGGTGGTAGACCATTTGTCTGTTAGGTGCGTTTGCTTTTTAGCTGTTGGAGTGAGAACTTTGTTTTTGGAGGATGAGTCCATGGATGTAGCTAGTAGGAAGTTAGTATTACCTCCCATTATCACCGTTTCAAAATTGTGTAAGGAAATGAGGCTAAATATTTTTTTCAAAGAACTTAGATTGATCGTCGTTTGTACTATATACATTGACCAAGGTATATGGTGCATTATTAATGTAACATTGAAGCAATAAGTATCTGCCCCTTTTATCTCCTACTTTTTTCACAAGTGAGAAGGAGACTTCCCTATGAATCAGCGTGGAGACACCTCGTTTTTTTCGATTGGAAACATCAATGAAAATCAAGCGGGAATAAAGTAGAGCAGAACTTGGGTCTATGACCCCATTTGAAGTGGGTTTCTTGGAAAAAAAGCCACTTGTGCTTTATTGGTTTTGGCTTCCAGAAGGGCAAGCCTTTTCTTATTTGGTGAATTCAGGCCTTTGGTATTTAAAGACATAATCTTGACAGCCATTAAGGATGTTTTAATTGAGTTGTTGTGTCTTTCTCAGATGTAAGAGAATGTATTTCAAGTCACCCATGGTCTAGTGGGATCAGTGTCAGTGTGATACATATACATTAGTTTTTTGTGTGTACCCAATGAACAATAGGGGCAGCAATAAGTCATAGTACATAAATATGGCAGAAAAATCATAAGTAAAAGGTGTCAACATAAAAGAAAATTAACAGAACTATATACAAAGAACCGTCAGGTGTTGTAGAGGTCATACAGACGGTACGATAATCACTAGGTATAGCCTAGTGGTGGTGGGTCCTCCTCCTTAGTAGAGACCACATTGTAGGCAGTATGATAACGTGATGTGTTAAGACAAGGCGCGGAAATTCAAAATATTTAGCATTAAATATAGGAACTTAAGGGGGGCGGGGCCTGGTCGCTGAGCTGGGTAGACATGGGGCACCTCGGCTCCCTGATAAACCTGCAATGACCAGCTTAAAAATGCCCTTTCTTGCCTGGAAAACCCTCAGCTGCCGTGAGAGGGCAAAGGGGACCCGACCAACAACCTTCGGGGGAAGTATCAGCCCCTGCTTCGCTGGCGATGCGGTCTGGTGGGCGAGTGGGATTGCGGCCTGCTGTGAGGCCCTGGCGGGAGAAGCGGCCGATCTCCCGTGCTTGGTCCGGCAGGACCTCCTGCTGCCTGCTAAGGGCCACGTTACCCCCCCTGTGGGCCAGGGGGGTTATCCCGGACCCTACCGGGGACGCAGTGCTCGTTCAGGGCATCTAGACGGCAGGAAAACTGACCGCGGACCGCATGGGAAAAACTAAGATGGCCGCAGCGCTCATTGCGAGACGGAGAAGTGAGGGGGAAGTACCAAAGCAAAGGAGACCGACGGAGTGCCCCTTCCACCCACAATATAACTGTATAAGGGAAATACTCCACAAGAAAGCCAAGCTCAGCATTATAACACTCACACCAACAGAAGCATCACCTCTCATTAACACCAGTGGATATAAGGGGACTCTATCTGGACTCTGACCCTGCCTGAGTACAAGGGAACAACGAAAATGGGGAATAAGCTTCACTCCACTCCTGACTGTCAAGCCCCCACACACTGAAATAACCAGCTAAAATCAGATTTAGCACAGCTGCAGGAGGGATCAATCGGCTTCTAACCATATATGCCTAACGTTATAACAGACTATGGTGTACCTCTTAATCTAGTAAGTAATTAAAATGTCTGAGCTTCCATGTATATCCGACGCTCTGCTGCCCCCTGGTGGTTAAACTTAATTAAGCCTATAGAAATCTGTTCTTGATGATGACCTTAGCTCCTGTTTTTACGGCAAAAATAAGCTCACTGTTTTGTTTCTCACACATATGCCTAGCACAAATGCCGATTTAGACAAGTTAAGCATCAATTATCTTGCTGTATTTCATTTAACTTCACGCTAACGATACAACTGTTTAGCCAAGCTTGCTAAAAATATAAAAATGTGCAGACTCTCATGCCACTGTTTAACCATTGTATATCTTGCAATACGCTTTTGTGGTGTCTGTTGACTCCTTGTACCCACCTGCACAGCAAAAATAAAGAATAATAAAAAAATAAAAAAATAGGAACTTAAAACAATAGAATCAAATCAATAATAGAATGTAGGCTGTTGGCCTTCAACTGTGAGATGTAAAGCATGTGTGTCGAGCATAGGTTGCTCAATGTGAGAGACTAGGTTCACGCCATGCAGAGTGGTGTCACTTAGCTGTAGTAGTGGTATGCCAGTCTTTAGCAATCTTCGTTGAGGATTGTTGTGCAGGTCCGGAGGTTATGTTGTGTGCCTGCACTGTTGTGGGGATGTTCCATTCACGAAGTGGCTTGTGTCCATCTTCCACTGTGCTGATATGGAGTTCTGTGCCGTTTCTCCTGATCATGAGCTGTGCTGGGAAGCCCAATCTATATATGATATTGGCATCTCTTAGGGCTAATGTTATAGGTGACAGGGCCTTCCGCTTGACGAATGTGGAGGCAGATAAGCTGGTATAGATCTTGATCTCTGAGAATTTGTCTGGTAAGGTTTTAAGAAGCCAGAACGCTCACATTACTTTTTCTTTGGAAGTGTAGTAGTGGAATTTTGCGATCACATCACGTCGAACTGTAGTGGGCATATTTCTGGGTCTCTAGACAGTGCATTCTGTCCAACAGTAGGTCTGATTTGGACAGGTCTGGAACCAGTAGCTGGAAAAGGTCAGTAGCATAGATTTATAGTTGTTGGGAGAGATGCACACCCCTCAGATGTACTTTGCTGCATGGTCTTCATGGTCAGCTACCTTGTCAGATAGGAGTTCCAGTCTGGTTTGGATTTGGTATATGCATCTGCCAGGGTATTGTGTGCCCCTATGATTTATTCTGTTTTATCTTCAAGCTGTGCAGTGTGTTCACCTAAGGCTTGTATGTCAGCCTTTATACCTTTTGCCAGCTTGGAGAATTCTAATTGCATGGATGTTTTCAGTTTATAAGAGTAGGTGAGTCCCACAAGGGGAAACCAACATCAGGAGAGCTCCACTGTATAAGAAATGAGGAAGGGAGGACCTACCTTTAATCAATCTAAGGATTAAAAGGGATATGCAAACAAAAAGAATAACTTGAAAAAAAGGGAGATCTACTAAACAGTGCCCAGGGGATCAATTGTCTGGAGTACTAGCTAGCATCTAAGTTCCAGTTCCCCTAGTGTCCGACTGACAGGAAGGTAGTGTAAACGAGGTTAGGGAGAGAGAAGAGGCACAGGGTCCCCAGAGAACAAGGGACCGGGTAATCAGGTCTAAACGCAGATGAAAAGCCTCACACAAAAATAAATAATTAAATAAATCTCTCAATTCACCCTTAAAGTTACCTCGACACCGTGGTCTAACCACTAGTGTCTACCTGAACTAACTCTCCCTACTAAAGTTATAAATAAATAAATAAATAAACACCTAAAAATCAATAACCATAGTGGTAACAAAAATAAAAAAGTGCTACCAAGTGCAGAGATTAAAGAAAAAGAAAACGCTCGACGCGCGTTTCAGAGTGTTCAAAACACCATCGTCAGGAGCCTTAGAGGTAGGGCCTCCCTTCATCATTTCGTATACAGTGGAGCTCTCCTGATGTCGGCTTCCCCTTGTGGTACTCTACACATCACCTACTCTTATTACCTACATATTTTGGAGGGTTACCCCCTCATTGGAGCTCCCTATTAGGTGGTCACAGTGGTGCAGCTCATGAGCCCTTGACTTGTATCCGGACTCCTGACCTGCACTCTGTTTACTTTATTTCTCCATTTTATGTTTTCAGTTTAGTCACCATCCTGTGTATTGATGACTCCATTGCTGGGGCAGACATAGGCACTGATATAGAAGTGCAGCCACTTTTGTCTGAATATGAGGCAGGCGAGCTTGGGCCGTCTGCGCCATCTTGGGCTTGCATGCGAGTGCTAATATTTGAATAGCCGCTGGTTTCTGCTTTGATTTTTTTTAACTGGGCAGTGTGTCATCATGTTGGAGCATAATAGTCCCTGTTTTTTAGGTGAGAAATTCTGGTATAATAGCTGTATTTGGTCTCTTGTCAGAGGAGCTGATGGCTATGTGGCCATCTTGGATGGGTGCGAGATCACGCCCCCAGTTGATGCAAATTTTTAAATCTGTTTCCGTTCATTTGTTAATTCTCTTTGCTGCTATATTTAAGTAAAGAAAGATAAATACAAAATAGAAGCCTTCATGTCTTGTAATAAAATTGTGAGATACCTCCCCCTAGTAGACGTAAATTAGTGTTGATTTCAAACTCTGTTTTATATATACAGTTGTAATCAAAATTATTCAACCCCCCCTCCCCCATTAAAAATTGGGTTTGTTGTCAAATTCACAGACTTTCAGCTGTTTGCATTGAACGAATCAAACAAAAGCAGTTGAAATGACTCAACACAACGAATGCTCCAAGTGGTTTTCCCAAATTCAACTAAAATGCATCTTATAATGGTGTCTCCAATCTCAAAACTATTCGACCCTTTCATGACAAGCATATTTAGTCATTAGTAGAGCACCTTTTTGCTGTTTTGACCCGGTGCAAATAAGATGAATAGCCAGACACCAACTTCTGGCATCGTTCCTGAGGAATCTTAGACCATTATTAATTTCAGTAATATGCATGGGTTTGCATGCTGCAGTCACCTTCTATGGGGTTCAAGTCAGGCCACTGTTGTTGTAGCCACTGTAGAATATAACAGGATTTCTTTTGCAACCAAGCCTTGGTGGAATTTGAGGTATGCTTGGGATCAATATCTTGTTGGAAGGTCCAATGATGACGAAGCTTCACCTTGCTCACAGACGGCTCGACATTTTCAAGAAATCCATCTTGCCTTCCACAGGCTACAGGTTTCCAGTGCCAGAGGATGTAAATGAGTCCCAGAGCATCACCGAGCCACCACAATGCCTAACTGTAGGCAGAGTGTTCTTTTCAGCATATGCTTTATTCTTTTTCCTCCAGACATAGCGCTGATCCATCGGGCCGAAAAGTCCCATTTTTGTTTCATCGCTCCACAGAACACAATCCCAAAACATCTGAGGCTTATTTATATGAATTTGAGCAATTGGAGCCAACTTTTCTTGTCCTTTTGGGTCAGTAGACATCAGCATTTGAGAAGGCTCCAGGGGCAGAGAGAAACGCATTATACGTGTGAGGTGAGACAAGACTACGGGAAGAGCCGCTAAGCGACTAAATAGTTATAGAGAGCCCTCCAAGGATTTTAAGATTTTATTTGAATGTTTTAACTCTACTTGAGAAATAATAAAGGCTTCACAAATACCAGCAGTCTCTTTCTGCAGACCGGATAATGCCTAGTGGATCCACCGAACTCAAGGAGCTTGATCCCTCCAGGGCTCTTAAAGTGAGAGTGGCACACAATCCACTCAAATGAAAAAAAACTGTATTGACATCAAAATAGCAAAAAATGTTCATATTGACAATTCTAGGCATTCTGCTTGGCTAAAAAAACCATGTTTTAAACAGTGCGGGGTTTCGTTTAGCAGTGCTGGGATATAGAGATGTGAGATCACTTCATCTAAATGCTGCAATGCGTAAATTGAGGAGTTTGATACCATAAGATTTTATCTGATTACATGTTTTTAAAGTGTATAGATGCTCTGCACTAGATGTTCTTATATTTTTGTCTTAAAGGTTCAACACAAGGAATTATAAAAGAACGCTTTATATAAGTATAATCAAGTTTGTGTGTTTGTTTTGCGCACTAACCTTTTTGGGTTGATTTAAGTAAACTTTATCTCAATCAAATTTGACATTGTAATTAAAGTTGAGAAAAATAAGACTCGAAGCAATTCATAGCCTTTAGCACATTTCTGATTTTACTGTTTATTCTAAAGAAATCACCAGTTTTGTTTCAAAAAAGAGAAAAATGAAAAAAACTGTATTGACATCAAAGTAGCAAAAATGTTCATATTGACAATTCTAGACATTCTGCTTGGCTAAAAAAAACATGTTTAAAACTGTAAAGGACTGTTGTGTTTGCACAAAAGACACAAGATCTCAGTGGACATGGTGTCGATCTCAGTGGACATGGTGTCGATCTCAGTAAACATGGTTTCGATCTTAGTGGACATAATGTCGAGCTCAGTGGACATTGTGTCGATCTCAGTGGAAGATCTCAGTGGACATTGTGTCGATCTCAGTGGACATGGTGTCGTTCTCAGTGGACATTGTGTCGATCTCAGTGGACATTGTGTCGATTGTGCAGTTCTGTTAGTAAACAGATCACCAGAATAAGTCAAAATGGAATGCCAGACAGGTCCCCTTTACCAGAGAGATACAGCAATTCCACACTATTATTTTGGCGTTCTTGGGCCTGAGGTTCTACAATGATATCACTTTTATCAAATCTGAGTATTTATCGTGAATAGCAAAGCTTTGCATTTAATGAAGAATTTACAATCCTGAGTATTTGTGTGTCTTGTGGAAACAGTTGTAAAGTTGAATTGGTTACATTTCATTGACAGTAGAGTGAAAAAGGATTTTGAAAGCTTTTCTCTATGGAATGCTGTGTCTACTACAGAAATCTAACTTGTCTCTCTGATTTATCAGCCAGATATCCTATCAATGGCCCATGTGAACCGGCTCACACCTTCTCCTGCTCTGATATTCACAACTTTCATCTCCCTGATAATGATCATACCATCAGACTTCAGCAGTATTGTCAACCTTTTCAGGTACTTTACCCAGGAAACGTACTGATATGCTTCACTGGTTTTCAAGTTCATGCCAAGGTCAGGATGTAATTACAACCCAATTGACTTGTACACTTATTGGCCTTGGAATGATAAAATGTAATTAGGTCTCGGAAGAAACTGAAACAGTTTTTGTTTTGTTTTACTTATACTAGAGATGCTATAGCTGGGGCACTAACAATTAAACCATCAGACTGCCTTTTTTTTTTTATAAATAAATGTTATATGTTTAAAGATTGTATGTCATTGTTCTTATATTTGCTTGCCTACAGTTTTACAGCCTGGCTTTTCTATGGAATAACAATATCTGGGCTCCTGTACATAAAAATTAAGAAGCCGGACATTCCCAGGCCTTATAAGGTAAATCAAACAAAACTCTTACAGTGACTAATGTTATAATACATTAATAGTGATTATTACACATTTAGACTTTACATATTGAGATTTAGTATTATTTATACCATACACCAGGAGTAGGCAACCTTTTAGTAGTTAAAAACACTCTGAAAGACAGTGTGCAAAGTCCAGGAGCTGACTAGTGACTGATGGCTCAAATATAGTGAGTGCAAAATCATATGATATAAAATACAATGAAGTGGGAGAATCAATAAAAATTATTATTATAAAATTTATAAAAATTATATAAATTAATATGTACTGTCATAAATGCATTACCAGTCTTATGCAAGTCAAAAGTAAGCAAGGACCTTTGGGTACAGGTCAAGGACAGGAGCTGCAATAGCTACTGTGGGTTGCTCTACTCCAGTGCGGGGTTTCCTTTAGGAGTGCTGGGATATAGAGATCTGAGATCACTTCATCTAAATGCTGCAATGCATAAATTGAGGATTGGCATTCACCATCTGCAATCACCAGTTGGTTTGCACTGGTGACCCCTGATAGGCCAGAGCCTGTTTGGCTCTGGTAGCAAGGAGTGCCGTATAATGCATAGCACAGGTGCCATAGGTTGCTGACGCCTGCCATACACAGTGCAGGAGATTATTATTATTATTTATACCATACACAGTACAGAACTTGCAAATTTCTCAGATATAGAATAGTTCCTGTATTCACTTTAATCTTCCAGTAGTCACATACTTGGAAAAATTACAGATATCTACAATATTTGTTCACTGGCTGCACAATCATTCAGCAGGCAAACAGTTAAAGGGACACTATAGTCACCAGTGCAACTGTAGCTTATTGTATTTGTTCTGGTGAGTAGAATCATTCCCTTCAGGCTTTTTGCAGTCAAAACTGTCTTTTCAATGAAAATGCAGTGTTTTCATTACAGCCTATGGACACCTCAACTGGCAACTCCTCAGATGGCTTCTAGAGGTGATTCCTGGAGCAGTGCCGCTCAGTGTGCAGCACTGCCATTCAGGGTCTCCACCTTCTGCATGGAGACATACATTTGCTCATAGAGATGCACTGATTCAATGATTGGCCAGGTTGGTGTTTGGATCCGCCCCTCGCCCACCTCCCTGGCAATATAAGCCAATCCAATGCTTTCCTATGGAAAAACATTGTGATTGTCAGAGTTCATCACTTCTGATGATGTCAGCCAAGGAGTTAGATCGGGGGCAGAGTAGAATAAAGGTAGGATTTTACTATACTTTGTCCTTCACCCCCCTAACACTATAGAGTCAGGAATACATGCCTATGCCAGGTATGTTCTATACTCACCAGAACAACTACTAATAAAGTTGATTTGGTGCCTATAGTGTCCCTTTATGATATAGTAGTTTTGGTACTTAGAGTTTACCTTAAAGGCACACTATAGTCATCAGAACAACTAGAGATTAATGTATTTTTTCTGGTGAGTATAATCATTCCCTGCAGTAATTTTCATGTAAAAACTACCTTTTCAGAAAAAAGGCAGTGTTCACATTGCCCCCAGGGACACGTTCAAGTGGCCATTCCTCAGATGGCCACTGGGTGTGCTTCCTGGGGCAGTGCTGCACAGTAGGCAGCACTGCAGAGCCTGGAGACGCTGAATTTTACTCATAGAGATGCATTGATTCCATGCATCTCTATGAGGAGGTGCTGATTGGCCAAAATTGCGTTTGGCCCTGCCCCCATCCTGCCTCGAGCCGATCCCTATGGGAAAGCATTGGATTGGTTAAAAATCGGCAATTCTGATGTCAGCAAGGAGGCGGATTGGCGCGTGGCCAGCGCCGGCAGACCCGCACGGCGCTGGAATTAAGGTGAGTTTTAACACCTTCTAAGGGGGCTAAGAAGGGGCAATCCACCTAAATGGTGGATTACACACTATAAGGTCAGGAATACATATTTGTGTTCCTGACCCCATAGTGTCTCTTTAAACAAATGGGAATTCACAGACACCTACTAAACAGCAGGGACAAAAGTTATGGCCCTTTTTAGTACCTCACATCATAGGCAACAGTGTGGAGGTATATGAAAGAACAGATAGCTGGTGCTGAATTAAAAACCCATGCACTGTCAATCATTTAAATCGATTTATTTATTATTTAGCTATTTGCTGCCTGTGCTGAACATTTTTGACTGCACATTTCATGTTTGCCTGTATTTTTACATAAATATAGATTGAAATCAAACAAAATATAATATTTTTTTTTCCCTCCAGGTTCCAATCATTATACCCATCATTGTGCTGATCGCCTCTGTGTACCTGGTATTGGCTCCAATCATCTTCAGTCCGCAACTGGAATATCTTTACGTGGCTATCTTTATACTGAGCGGTACTATTCTCTATATTCCTGTGGTCCGATACAAATGGTCTCCCAAAGCTTTCAGATCAATTACTCTCCATCTTCAGCTCCTGCTTGAAGTGGCCCCAGCAGATAAAAACCAATGAGCTGCCTCCAAAGCATGATAACAAATTATCATTTAATAATTACTATTAATGGGAGATATTCCTAATACAGAAAAAAAACATTAAATTGGTCTGCTGACAAAAGGATACCTCTCAAAATAATACTAGCAATGATCAAACTGACTATGGATGAAAAAGAACGCTGCAGTTGCTGTAATAAACTCAGCAGCTGAACTCTGCAGGCCAGCTACACTCTGAAACATTATATTAAAGTAGAGCAAAGTTTTTTATACTCTATGTGTATCTATGTGTTGCAGCTTAAACTGGGGCACATCAGTTCAATGCATATAGATTGTATAAATGTAAATGGAAGTTACGCATTGTCATTATGTCAACACAGGTTTTATAATCAGGCTATCAAGTATAGAAAGGGTTAATCTGCTCAGCTACAAAATGATGTGAGCAGAGGTTAGGATAGGATAATTACAGATTGCTCATGGTGAGAGGATGAATACTGAAGGTTGACATTTTTTAAAAATAATTTATGATATAATGTCTGGGTACTGAAATCAGTGGGCGAACTGCCCAGTAAACAGCAGTGGCATTGCTAAGGTCATAAAATATCTGGGGTTTGGGTCAAAACAAAATTTTCTGAACTCTCCTCGTAATCCCACATCTGATCCTTTAGAAACTCTGCCCCTTAACAACTGCAATACATGCCTCTTAACACACTCATGGACACATACACAAAGACATACACACAGGCACAGGCACACACACACACCCAACCATGCGCAATGACTAGCACTTACAGAGGCACATACAGTAATACAAACAGCAGTTTATTCAATAAACTGTGTGTTGATAGCTTATTTGTAAATTTTATTCCACAATAACAGAATTGGAAAAAATAATATCCCACATTGTTACTTACTACTTTCTCAAACTTTGCTATTTTGTCCTTGGGCTTGTAAGCTAGTTGTCAACGTGCCACAACTATTTAGTGAACGAGTCCCTAACAATTCCATTTCTAATATCTAGATACATTAACAAATATACAGCTTAATAAACATTGGATAACATGGCCAGCTAGAGTAAAACACCATGAAAATATAAACTTTATCTAAATGAGTGTTACATAACAGTATCTTAATAGTTACAATATCTAGTTTAATCTATCAAAAATAAAAATGACAGTGAAACACTGTAAATAAAAAAAATACAGGTCTTACATGATTCAGTGTATTGCATTTTGTTTTTGATACATGTTTTCTATGGCAAGAATGTCCCTAGACTCTAGAGCATTTGGCACCCCTGGGGGATCCTGTATTTGACTCATCCCAACTTTAAAATGTAAAAAACGGGGGGCGGGGCCTGACCGCCATGCAGGCTGGCCGCAGGGAAAAACAGCTCCAACAATTACCCGACTTTTAAGCTTAGAAAAAGAAACATCTGAACCCGCTAGATGACCTAAAGCGGCGAGCCGACACATGAGGAAGTACTGGACCCGGGGAGAGGTTTGCTATAAAAGTTTTAGTCCCTCGGAGAGATGTACATCGTCCTCTCTGGATGAGGCTTACTCAGGTGGTGAGCAGGGCAGACGGCCGCTGCCCCGCTATCCTGCCCAATGGCATCCAGCCAGACTCCCTCAGCTGAGCACACCGGCTCCTGTTCCCCCCTCTCTGGGCCGGCCTACACCCTGCGTCCCCCATCGCAACAGAGATCTTCAAGCTCCAACGTACCGCCAAAATGCAGCTCAAGACACAAGCAAAAACAAAATGGTGGCAGCCATGGAACCGCCCACTTGCCTAGCACCTTCAGCCCCTGGAGGGATACAATCCCCGCAAATCCGAGGCAGGCCCTACATACCTGCTAGTGGCAGCCTAAACGCTGGGAACACAGCAACACACCACATCAACATCAACCTGACAAAGGTTACCGTGGTCCCTGGGAGCACACTCGGCAAAGAGGTGGGAGAAGATGCCAGCCGACACAGAAGCAACTAATCAGACCCAGCAGTCAATCCCTGGGGCATCCCCGGACGGCGGCAGCAAAGTGCGCAACACCACTCCACATCTCCAAGGCAGCACTGCGACATTTGCCAGCCACACCGCAACAGGATGACACCAAACAGCTAGAGGGTATGGGCTGAGGCAAACTTTTGCCATAAGGGGACTTCCCAGCTTTCTGTCTCCATACCGCGGACTCTGAATGGGAATGACTAAAGCACATCCTTGCCCTCACTGAGGGTGCAAAATGCCCTTTATACCTACAATATGCATTAGTATGCAGCTGCCTGACGCTGGGATTGCGCGGTGTCCCCACACTATAAGCATGTTTTCCTCTGATACCCAACAGGTCCCCAGGGCATACCTAATGTTTTTATGTTTGTTTTAGGCCTGTTGCCCACGTAAGGTGTTTTAGATGCCTGTATGATATCAATTTGCCAACTGACCCCTATTTAGCAACCATAGTCTACACTGATTAAGCCTATACAATCATAGAAATGTGCTACCGCATACGCAAACAAGCAGGATGTAACACCACCATGTCAATCAGCCTAGCAGGAGCATATCAGAATCATCTTATATGTACGTTCTCTGCACAAGCCATGCTCTCCTCCTATGTCTCTCCTCTACCTATTTCTCCATGACATGTGCATTATGCTAACATATTCAACACCAAACGTGAACCTAAACTACTGTACTACAGATCATATTAATATTATAAAAATGTGCCTGTACATCGAATGCCATGACATGTAATACCAATGTTCACCTATTCTACCGGATGTCGCTGTTGTGGCGCACGCCGGCTGTTTGTTCATCCTGTGCACAATCAAAATAAAGAATTACAAAAAAAATAAAAAAAATTGTAAAAAACACTCTCCATGTCTCATTAACCCATATGTCTCATTAACGGGACACTCCAAACCCATAAAGCACTTTAGATTGCTGAAAAGCTTTCTGTGTGAAAAGTGTGCTCTCTTTTTATCATTTTGCAAAGCGTGCAGATTTCAAAAGAAGTTGATCCTTTTACAAATTAACCTGGTTACACCCCCTTGACTTTCACACTGACAATAGGTCCTGTTACTTCCTGGTTTGGTTAGCTCATTGGGACTAAACTCAAGAGGCAGCAATTGCCCAGAGCACCTGCCTTGCAAAGACTTCTCATAGAGCTGCATTGGGAAGTCTGTGATTGGACAGCCACAGAAAGTCTGGGCAGGGTTAGAACGGGAGGGCTTGTAAAGACAGCAGACAAGAGAACTGCATGTTTTACAAACTGTTTTTAGATATAACCTAAATTGAAAAACACATATTTAAATGCATGCAAGTTTTCATTTGGGGTATATATACTAAACAGTAATTTTTATTTATTTTGTATTTAGGCATTGGAGTGTTCCCTTTAATCTCCACCAAACCCTTCCACGTGTCTCATTCCCTCCCACCCCCCTCAGTCCCTCCATGTGTCTCATTAACCCCACCAACTCCTTCATGTGTCTCATTAATCCTGCCAGCCCCTCCATGTGTTCCGTTCCCAAGCTTGCCCATGTGTCTCATTCATCCCCTTCCCCAGCCCCTGCGGTGTAGAGCGGCCAAGTCGCAGACCGCGGGTAGAAGAGCTTCTGTTCCTCTCCCTGGTCTGACAGGAAGCAGTTCTGTGCTCTCTGTAAGCACTTCCTGTCAGACCAGGTAGGGGAACAGAAGCTCCTCTACCACAGTTTGTGGCTTGGTCACGCTACATTTAGTGACTGGCAAGAGGGGAACACTTCCCCTCCTACCAGTCACCCTGTGATTGCGCAGTGCACGCATATATTTAAGAAAGAATGATTAATTTATTACTTGGGATAAAACCAGTGTTGTGTTTGCAATTGTTTCATATCCATGAGAGCACAGAATTTCAATGTATTTTTTAGTAAAAGATCAGAAGGTTAAACAATAAAGACACATTTTTACCAGCATTCTTTGCTCATATTTACCAAGGATGTCAATATTAGTGGAGGGCACTGTATATGTGTGCAAAATTCTCACATACAATAGATATATGAAAATAACCAAATACCTTACTTATAGGTATATATAAGGACCTTGAAGGCATTAATATCAGTACAGTTTACTGGAAAAGGCAACAAAATGTAAAAATAATGTCTTCATTTGAACAGAAGTATCCACATGCAGTAACTACAGTTAAATAATATATTTCTAAAACAAAGATAATTAAAATTACTATAGCAATATTTTTGAATCTCTGTGCAGTTAATGTAAGCTGACCACGAAATGGTAGAGTCCATTCGCTCCTCCCCCCTCCCTTACTGTAGAAATTATATGACCCAGTGAAACTTCCTGTGCTGTTTGGAAACAGCAGTTGAGCTTACATTTTAAGCACATTTAAACATTATATCCGTGAGTAGTGGCTTCTGGCAGAGAAATCTGTTCCTCTGTAGGCTGGTAATTATAACTAGAGTATAAATGAGGATGAGTGAGGCTTTAGCAATTAGATTTCATACTGCAAAATACATGCACATAAAAAAGTTTAAACTCAATTTAGGTAGTGAAGTGGTTAATGGATAAAATATTTTTCAACTCCAAAATAGTCACAACTATTTTAGCTCAAATTTTACAATTCAGATCTCACTTCACTACTTTTTAATATTTCCAGGCTTATTTATTTAAGTGAGAATTCAATATAAATTTCAAATTTTAGACCAAGGTAGATGAACTGGAGGCATGGCCAACAGAAAACATTTCATTTCGACTATCTTGACCTTAAATTTTAAATTCGTTTCAAATTCTCACTTTAGTGAATAAGCTCCTGAGTGTTCTGAATGTAGTTATTTCCGTGGGAGGAAAGGTCTTCCAGGCCACCGAAGTCAGCATCAGAGCTTCCTGTGTATTGAGAATTTCTCTGAACTTCTTTTTGAAGTAATAAATATTGCATTGTTCCTTCCAATAATCCATTAATATTCTACGTTTCTATCAAGACTACATCTCTCAAGCAAAAACAAAGACTATTGTATCTTTTCTTCTGACCTTGTGGCCTCCGTCTTTTGGCCCTTGGCTTCTATGTCCCTTTCCCTGTTAACTTCCCACACAATATCCAGAGAGAAATTTCTAATGCTGATCACACACTCTGAATGAAGTGGATACAGTTCCTTGTTTTATTTTCATATAATAATGAAATACATGGCTATATATTTGTAGCTGTTGCAAGCAATGTGTATTGTAACTAGATATTTCAAATAAGGCCATATTTGCTGTTCATATAAGAAAACCTTTATTTATGTGTCCACAAAAATAAACTTTATCTAATCAGCTTCCATAAAGCTCCATGTGTACAAATCTCTTATAACTTTCACTTCATTTTTATTGGATATATAGACAGAAATAAACAAGGATGGAGTCCCAGAGTTAAAGACCCAGATATATAGAATTTTTCTTCATCGGCAATAATTGAAGAAAGTTCAATATAAAATCTGCAAAACAGAGCAAATTAAACAAAATATACAAAAGCAGTAGGCATTTATACATATGCAGGGTTAGCCACTAAAGTGAGTATTGGCAGGAAGTCAAAGTGAATTCAAAGAGAAAATCAAACTTTAGGTCAAAATAGGCCAAATTAGAAACATTCTCCCAGTCAATTCTGTGTTCAGTTTGGCTATTTTGGTCTTATATTTGAAATTCACTTTTAATTTCTGGCAATAAGGAATAACTCTGATAGACTGCAACAGTGTAGACCCTGTGGGATATGCCAAGGACAATTCTCTGGCAGACACTTAGGGTAGCTGTAAAACACAGGGATTCTACGCAAAACAAAACAGAGCATCGAATGCAATAAAAGAAGAAGTATGAGCAACAAGCAGGTGCACTATGGATAACAGAGGCAAAACAGTGATTCTGGTACTGAGCTCATGGTCCAGGAGGCCACTGCACCTCAAGGCAATAGGTGTGACCACAAGTGACAACGCACCCGACCCCAACCCCTCGGTAAAAGGCTTAATTATGTACTGATTGGAGTAGCTAAGTATCAGCTGGTGGTCAAAGAACTGGAACAGTCCACAACGCCCTCCCCACATTGGAACTAATTGACGCCCAGCTCCCATGCTCCAACTATATAGCTGGCCTCCACCCTGGAAACCACTAGATCCTTCACCACGCCTCACACTATTATATCAGCATCTTCACCACTGAGGACTCCATACAGACCTCCAACTACCAGTCCCTCTGGGGCCCCGACTCCCCTCGCACAGCAGACAGTCAGGATGGTTCTGAGGACTGTTGGTCGGCCCAGAGCCTGTCTGCCAGCCTGGTATGCTTGACACACATAGAGTGGCGGAACTAATGCAGAGAGGGCCCTGGTGCAAGAAATAATTTTGGGCCCCCCTAGAACACACACAGATACAAACATATACCTACACAGACACATGCACACATTGTCACTCATACACACATATACTCACACACACACACACACACAAACAGATACACGCACATACCTACATACACACACTGGCACACGCAGATGCACACATACACACATTGGCACACAGACACAGATACCTACACATACTGCTTGCCTTTCTTCCATCTCTGACTGGATGTCCTCATGCTTTCTGAAACTCAATCTCTCTAAAACGGAACTCCTTGTCTTTCCTCCTCCTAATACTGATCCTCCTCTCTCGCTATCCCTTCAAGTCAGTGATATCCACATAAGTCCATCCCTGCAAGCGCGCTGTCTTGGCGTCATACTTGACTCTGGTCTCACCTTTGAGTCTCACATCCAGTTTGTTGCCAAGTCCTGTAGGTTCCAACTCAAAAACATAGCCCGCATTCGCCCCTTTCTTACGCAAGATGCTACCAAGGAGCTTGTCCATGCTCTAGTAATTTCCCGCATGGATTACTGTAACCCTCTCCTGATTGGTCTCCCCAAAAGCCGTATTGCCCCGCTACAGTCTGTTATGAATGCTGCAGCTAGACTGATTTTCCTCTCTAGTCGGTCCTCTCACTCC